TTCTATATTAGATGGAGGTTGAGCTCCTCGAAACGAACAAGTTTTCACATAGAATAAATCCACTAAAAAATATGAAACATATATGCATCATATATATCGAGATGAAGACTAACCATCGATTTGTAAATAGAATTCCAATGCCATAGCCATTTGTCTCGAATTGGGTGTTGGTTCTTTTAGAGCAACATCACTCTTACATAGAACATGTCGTCGAAATGATTCATGGAATGCAAGAAGAGTATGACAGATGCTATGAAGTCGTTGTGCATTGAAAGTAATTATTGATTTGCCTACTTGTAATCGTGAAGCTAATTCATTAGCATCGTGTTCAGATAAACTAAATTCATCGGAATAATTGTACTTATTCATCAGCATCAGTGCATCGAAAGTATAGGCTCCATATTGACGTCGATTAATTTGATGAGGTGCAAGACGCCTAACTAAAAGACAATGAAATGAAATGATTTATAATTAATTTATATCGAACATACGAACCTGGTACATTAGCCAAAAGTAAACACTCATTTGGACCAACATATTCTGTTGGAAATATAGGTAAATAAGCATATCCTCCATTATTTTTATCTAATAATGTTCTTGATTGATATTATTGTTGTTTATTATTAATTAACAAAGAAGTAGCTTGTTCTGCTCGAGTTAAATCAATTGTATTGAAATCCATATGCAATAGAAAATATTTTGAATTTTTGCTATTCTTTCATATTTTATACCGATTATATTTTTGTTTTTCGTCAAGATTCTATCTGAAAGAGAGAAGGATATGAATGAAAAAAAGTTTTTGTTTTTCCTATCTAATTTCTTTTTTTTTATGATTAAGAGCGAAGATTGTATCTAAAATAGTAACATAAAATAAGCTCGATATAAAAGAAGTTTACTTGATTTGTATTAGAATTTTGAGCAAAATAAGTTTGTTGAAATATTATATTGGTATAATGATATTGAACCGTGGCAATATGTTCATTGATTTCAATATGTAAAGATTGAAGTCCTTGTTGTACAAATTTTTCAATAGTATATTCCATGCTACAGTTATAACCAGATAAACGAGCGGTCTTGACATTTAATTCGTCTCGATAATGTTCCTTTTTATTGTACAATTCTTGTAAACATTGATTGGCAAAAATTAAGCAACTACTTTCATCGATAATATTATCATTTTTTAACTGTTTCATGAGTGATGAAACTTCTTTTGGTCAAATTTTCGTATCACATATATTGATTGGTCGCTTGGATTGTATTTCTTCCATACCATATTTTCGGTAGACTATCCAGAGAGATTGTACTATGTCAATCGACATAATTTTATGCATGAGAATAGCAATATCTCTTATTTCATCTAAATTCATCGTTGATGGTAAAATGGTTCGAAGTTTCTTTTCAAAAGATGGATTTTTTGAACAAAGATAGTCGGGTATAGATTTTCATTCACTACCAATTGTTTTCGAAAGAATGATTTCTATAGGAAATTTTGTTATTTGTTTTTTTGTTGAATTGATTTTAAAAGGTGAAAATTGGCCAAGCTCTTTCGATAGGACTTGTTCATTGACTATCTAAGAAGAAAATCATTGTTCATAGAATAGAAAGATCTTTGTTATTCTTCTGTCTTACTTTTGCGTCAGAAACTGTACTACAACGGGTAATAGTTTTAGTAGAATTGAGATTTGATGTTGTCATTACCATTTGAAATTGAATGGGAGACAACAAAACAAAGATAGAATTCTGAAAGTGAGATCTAGAAGAAAAAAGAAAAGCAAAACATTAGAAGATAAATTTGTTTACGACTCGAAAAACAAACTATGAAACATGACACAAAAAAATAAATGAATGAAGTGTTACAATAGAACTACATTCTACAATATTGCTTAAAATGAACAATCGAGAATGCTAGAGTCAGTAAAATCTATAATAAGGAATAGATCGTTATTCTTGAGACGAAGCATGAATAAATTTTATAATTTGTTGAGCACGTTGTTCGATATTATCGAGACGAGCTTGGATAATAGCACGCATTGAAGGAGGAAAGCATTCCATAGATAATAATTGATTCTTTTGATCATTACCATCAATGCCGAATTCATTTTGTTTCATATTTATTATAGAACGATTAACTGGAATTATTCCTTTAACCATAACTTGATTACTCCTTGACCAACGTTTGTTTTGTTGACTAATAACCTTCTCACATGCTCTTAATTTTGATCGCCAAATTTGTTGAGCAGAATAAACCTATGAGGAGAAGAAGAATAAGAAAAAGTTAGGCTAAATAAAATATTCACCTGTTCTTCTATTGGATTTAAATTATAGAATGATTTGACAAGATGTGCATCATTGATATCATACGTAAATAAAATTTTTTTCTGTTCAAAATTTGTATTGAAATGATGCAAATCATTTTGCATGAGAACAACAAGAGCATGACATATGATATTCATTCATTGTTCAGAATATATTTTATCATCGTTCATTTTTAAATTTGATGAATATCGTTGTAAATAATTGTATAAATTAATTTCTAACCGTTGTAATTTATTTCGAATGAGATTTTGTTGATATTGAATATTTAGTTTTGTTTTCGAATGATCCCAATTAATGGAATTTTTTTCTGTTACATCTTTCGATACTTCTGATAACCAAGTCACAACACGCATGTTTAAATTGCCAATGTAGTACCAATAGTCTTCTTCGATTTTCAATTGAAAGGAAGTACACA